AATGTCAGAATGTGTCTTAAGAAGCCGGGGCAGCTCAATAGTGTAAATCAGGAACAGCAAGGGGGATAAAACCCCTCCTTGCGGGACGCCACTAGTGCAGGGAAATTTTTCGAGAAACTAGTCCTGACTCGAACAGTCATGCTTCCTGTGCTCTGAAAGAGATCTGAACCAGTCAAGTATCTGGCCACAGATACCATAACACTCCCAACAGCTCTGCAAACGTCATACAAAGTGTGAATAAGATTCGTACAGGTTGAAGCTCCAGGTAGGAAACCATGCTGCTCCGCGGGAATAAGGTTTAGACGGCTAAACCAAGCCAATAACTTATTGAAAACCATCTTTTCCATGACTTTCACCGGTGTTGAAACAAGGCTAATGGGTCTGTAATCGCTAACAGCGGTGGCACTTGAATGCTTGGGGATTGCCGTTATGATGGCTTCCTTCCAGATCTGGGGAACCTGACCTAGCAGAAAGGAAATATTGAACATGTATGCAAGGGGCTTACATAGAGAGTAGTGACATTTCCTATAAACTATTTGAGGTATTCCATCAAAAGGTTCGCTATGAGAAGGTTTCAGCCTTTTTAGCAAAGTGCGGACATCGTTTGGGTGAAAATAGATATCCGGGATACCGCATTGAGGGACGATTGTCACTTTTTCCAAGTCACCATCACTAACGGAGGAGCAAGGAGCTAAAAGTACCCCAGCAAAGTATCTACCTAGAGCTTCAGCCTTGGCGGAATCCACATGGAGCCTGGTACCAGAATGGATCCTCTAAAGTGGGAAGACCCGGCTTGGAATTGAATTTTTTACGAAGGTATAGGTGCAGACGCTTCAGCGAAGCTTGCTTTCCTAATCGGCGCTCTAGATTCAAAAAAACTTCTTCGAAATGGCGATCAACATCAAAACAGACCTTCTTGTGCAGCGAGCTCCTCAGGGGAGCTTCCAAATTCATGAATAGGCGCTTCTTCTGAACCAGCATAGTCTAAAAGGCACAAATAATGTTAATGCATCGTAGACAATTCTGCAGAACCTACGGTGCATGTCATCCATCGAATCATATTGTTCAAATAGGGTGAGGTCAATGTTCGAAAAGTGGGCATCAAGACCTTCATAGTCGAGTTTCGAGATATCTGGGGAATTCAAGGCGAAATCGCTTCCGTACTTTTCCGACAAACAACGTACAGAGGCGTGATTCTGATTAGCGAGTGGTAGGCATTAGAGACTTCACTGACGTTAAGAAATGTTATATATCCAAAAATAACGCGCGGATAACTGGACATGAGTTAGGTGCGCAATCAGTAAACAACGACAGCAGTCAAATATTGAGAGTGAGCATATACACTCGAAATTCCTGAGATGCGGTAGGCGTGGCAGCGTGTTTGGATTGAACGTGGCGGCGGCAAGGTTTTTGTGAGATATATTGATTTCGGGACAGCTGTAACCATGTCTTTGTCCAACACTGACCAAGATGACAGTTGTTATCAAATTGTATCCCGCAAGTAACGCACACTATGCCATGTCAAATGCCGCGCTTACTCCGTCTCAGGGATAAGGAGTGTAATGCCGGTAGAAAGGAGTATAAGGTTCTTCGTGTGATGCACGCCCACAGGCTGCGCCAGCCGAAACTTGCACCTGTAGAAGTTTGAGAAGGCATGTCTAGCGCACTTCGGTGGTGGAAGGGAGAGAAGAGGCATTTTGCACTTTCACTGTTTCACTAGTTCCGGTTTACTAAACCCAATCTAATGGAACATGTGAAACTCTTGTGAAGCTGGAGGCATGAAATAGCTCACTGGATACCTCTATAGGTCTTGGGAAGTACATAGGAACAGTGCAAAACGCTTTTCCCCTCCTCGCTGAACTGCGCAGCATGTTTGCCCACTTCCATTTTTGCGAATGCTTTTTACAACAAATCAGAATTAAGTCATTCTTCACTAACATTTTTTCAGGCATGAGATTAGAGTCGTTCTTGACACCTCGTGGTGGAGGAACGCCAAAAGTGATACGGGATCCCTGCTAGAGAACAGGCTTTCCTCGTCCTTCATGGTTTAACTACTCCGAAGGGGGGACGAAAGCACTTCGCGATCGTTCGGCAAAGAAGAATCGTTCTCGCGAAGGACGTCTAATAACGTACTGAAGACTATTTGCATTTTCAGACTACAGTGCTGGGAAATGAAAAGTGGTTGGTCGAGTTGTCATATGCATGAGGCTGAAGCATCGTAATAATTGAGGCTCGTGTTTGGTCCATTCTCCTACTACTTTGCAAAGTAGCGCTCATGCATCGAACAGCTAAACATTTGCCGGAATGGAGGGTGCCAATTGAACTGTTCGTCCCATAGGAATACGCCTTGCAACTAACTTCTACTCAAAATTTCGACGAGAGCAACGAGAAGCTTATTTATTTAGCACAAGGTAACAATATTCTGGAAGGATGTTTTTTGATTTCGTGCAAAATTCAGTTACAGTTGAGTCGGCGGCGAACGTGGCGAATTATGGTCCCACAGAAAAGTCGACTGGCTAGCACTTTTTTGCTAGAACCCTCGCTCTCACGGAAGCATTGTGACATGATAACTAAGGATTAATAGATGATAAGTACTCCCTTGGCAAGATCCACTGTGGAGCAATAACATTACAATAACATTGGCGGCACAAGTGATGGACGTGGAAGGGGAATGGATAGGGGGGGAAGGGGAGGTGGGAGGGAGCTCCGCATGGTCAAGTAACTCTTACAACAGGCGAAAACCCCTTTTGGCAGGAGAACTCGGCGCTGAACGTTGTCGTGAAAGGGTTCGAGTTGTAGGAAGCGATTTCCTTTCATTGACGTGTGATGAGGCTTTATGGCGAGGCTCATGGAATGTTCCTCTCGATATGCGATTCTGGACTCTCGGTGGTCGCCTCTAGCATGTGCTAAATACCCATTCTGGCCCATTCAGTATATCCCCTCCCAACCTTGTCAACCTTTCGAAATGATTCTCCGTCGACTGGCCAAACGGGCAAACGGCAGCCTACGGTCAAATAATAAGTAGGTGCTGCTGTACCAGTTCTACTGCCACGGGCCGTCGTTGCAAGGGTCCTGTTTCGCGCGCCTAATGCCTTCGACTCCCAGAAATTTCGTACTTCGAGCTCATTTCGAATTGGCCTAAGTCACCAAAATCCACTAAAACTTGAGTATGACACTTGCATTCTTGCGCTGGCCCGCCGAAGCGAGGAATTAAGATTACCTCTTGGGCCTCAGCCTTAGCAGAGGGCAGGTAACCGTAGTTTCATCCATTAGCGCCAGTGCCAAAAATGATAATGTTTATTCGTGATCAGGATGTTGAATTACCCCTATATACAAGTTTTTAGCGGATTTGGTGATCTTGCCACTTTTAAAATGAGCTCGAAGACGAAATTTCTGGAGTCCAAACGGCATTAGCCCCTGTTCGCCGCGTATCATGGGGCGTGTCAGTGAGGCTGTTTGGCGCGGCGATCTCGTTCTCCATCAATCGTTCCTTGTCAACAGCGGGCATCAACAACTGTGGAAAACGGGTTAAGCGCAGCGCCAACCACCCCTTCCTGACACGCCTAATCCTTACAGTTCCAAAATTTTCCGAAGAGTCCCGTCAAAAAACCGCCGTTGAGGATTTGTTCCAGTTTAACAAAGGAGGTTCCTGAGAACGCGAGTTTCCAACATTTCTGTGGCCAAACTTTGGCAACTCGAACGTTGGCAATAACTTCGTTGTAAGATCGTAAGTTTCAGAAAAAATAAAAAAGTATCCGGCAACTGACATAGCTATAAAACCTTCATTGAAAACATCCGCAGTTGAGGATTTTCCTCCGGTAACGAGGGAACTACGTTGGGCGCGCAAGTTGCCATCCTTTAGGAGTACATAACTTCGTTAAGACGTAAGTTTCAGAAAATTCAAAAATATATGGATTTGCAGCCTGCAAATCCATATTGGACTAGTACCTTGAACTGAGCCCACCCGTTGGTGGGTGTGCATCAGAATGAGTAACTATTTTGTGGGGAAAAATGTTTTTCACATGCTCCTTCCGTAATTGAAGAGCAACTTCACATGGAGAATAACAAGAATGAATTCAATAATATCAGAGGATAAGAATAACTTCAAAAGACTCACTACCGAGAGGTTCTTATCACAATGAGTGGAATGTTACAGCAATGAGATCTAAAGTGATGACTTTTCGTATCGCAATTGTCAACAGATGACAATCAGAGAGATGGTTTTGTGTGTTCGCGAGAAAAATGCGAAAGGAGGAACATTCTCAAGAACAAGAAATCGTACGGAAAACGTCTAGAAACTCACAATAGATCGCCCACGTCGATGGCAGCCTACTACATTCGCAAAATAAACCAGAATGAATTCATGGAACAGCTGCGTTTGATATCAATATCAGGACTAGGGATCAATATGCATTCACGGAAAACAACGAATCATTCCCGTTGACTGGTTTTTCAAAACAACTATCAAGCAGTCTGGTAGTACTTCAGTCTGGTAGGCCAAGTTGTAGGAGCGATTGTAAGTCAGGGATGGGTAATTTCGCTCAGAGACAATTCCTGCGAACAAGTATTACAAGTAGCAGGTGCTCAAATCATAAACAAGTAGCTCATAAGTAATTACGCAGTAGAGAAAGAAGCTAAAAAACCTCTGAAACGCTCTGAAAGATACCGCCTCAGCGAACGGTGCCTTGGAAGAGTTTGTCGGACATCGAAGCCCAACCAGCAGGATTCAACAAGCAAGCGATTCCCGGCAAGAGCACAGCAAATCACCTCACGACGCTCCAGGCAACGTTATGTACACACCGCTTGTAGCCTGTTGTCTTGCAGAGTGAAAGTAATCGTGGTTGCAATGGTTGCAATAATCACGCGTCTCTAGCTTCTTTATCTCGCCGTTTCGAGTGACGAAAGTGGTATGTTCTCTGCGAATGCGGACAACGATGCCAAATGCACGGAGGCATTTTGCGGACCACTTGATCGCGGGAGCTGTCATTAATTTCAGAAGGGGAAGAATAAGTGAGTCTATGGAAGAACGGGGGTTTGTATATTGAGATGGTCCCAATTTTTCACAAGGGTTCGCTAGCATGCTCTTTATTTTTGGGTAGCGCCATCTGCTCTTCGGAGTACTATACATGCTAGCTTCGAAGAAGAGGTATTCTGTGAAAAAACCCTCCGTTATCTGTGTGGAACAGTTCAAAAGTTAC